TGTAACCTCTCCAGGAATGCTCCCCCTCCCTCCTGATAATCTTGATCTTCCATTCCAGTATCCTCCTCGTACATGCCTTCCATCACATCCCTACTCTGATTTTGGTCATTCTGAAGTCGACTCCCCAATGAAGTCATGTAGCACACTGTAATGCTGTGCTTTCCTTTCTCCCTAGCTAGACCCTCCTTCCAAATAACCCAAGAAAATTTCCCATATTCCTTCCCACATTCAGGAGACCTGCATGCATCCAGTGAACTGACCTTTTCTCCACTTTTGGTCAGTCACTGAAAGTATTTTTATTAAGGTTCTGGATGAAGAGATGAAGGGAATGCATAGTATCAAATCTGCAGATGGCACAAAACTGGATAGCTAATATTTTAGAAAACAAAAAAATCCAAAGGTTAGAGAGCTTAGAGCAATGGCCTCTAAATAACAATGTAATTTAACAGTGACTGATGGAAATTCTTCATTTAGGACCCCAAAAACAAACATATAGGCTAGAAATAGCTGGTTTGGGAATAGAACACATGAATATGAGTAAATAGTGAGATGGGGCTGGAGAAAAAAAAAAGACAAATGCACTTTTAGACTGCATTGATGTTAATAGTTTCAAAATCACAGGGAGCAAGAGTTCGCTTTATTCTAAGTAGATTTGGAACCACCCTCTCTTTCAATACTGAGTAGCTGACAATTCTCAGAGCTGTAGTACCCACACATCTCAAAGGCAATGAAGTGGAAAAGGCTCTGAACATCTCCAGTCACAGCTAGGGGGGAAGGCAGGAAAAGTTAGTTTAATGAAACAAAGATATCCTGTTTCTCTCGGTTTCTCTTTGCTATTTGTTTGGAACCAGGTTACTCTAGAGGGATGAGTGTAATTAATACCAAATAAACATGAATGACTCCTGCCTGCTCTGGGGCATTCTTCAAATGCTCCCCCATCCAGCATCCATTATGTGGAGTTGAGTTGTAGCCCTCGTGGTACTTGCCTCAGTTCTCTTTGCCACTGTGAGTGGATCCCTCCTTGGTGCTCCTCCCTGCATTCTCACACCACCCTCCATAGTTGTTAAAAATAAGTACATTTTAATGTTACAAGGGGCTCCGATAATCCACCCAAATTGAACAAGGGGCTCCTGCAAGCCCCCTCTGCAACTCATGGAAAGGTTGATATAGAAGATAAAGCATTTGGACAGGTCCAAGGTCCTTAAGCTGTCGTTCTAATTTAGGAAATGCTTATCACAACGTAATTTTTCTGCATATTGCCATATAGTTTATCCAATGTTCTCCAATTAAAAAGAAAAAGGATTGTCAGCATTTACATGATTGGATGAAGTGATTATCTTTGTGGAAACATGGGGATTTGAAACTACTCTGAAACAAGCTTTTGAGGAAATAAGACATGTTTTTGCATGTGTATGCAAGTGCTTTGAATGTGCCTAGTTTAGAGATCCCTTGCCTGTTTTATGCAAAGTGATTCTCTGCATAAAGAAAGTTTGGACCTTGAGGAGAACTCATTCTTTTATCCTCTATATTAAGATGAAGCAAGAAAAGTGACAAACAGCAAATGACGAGGATTAAACTGGTCCAAATACAGGTAAGATGCTGCCAGAAAAAAAGGCCAAAAGTCTGGCTTTGCTTTCAACTACCATGCCTGAATTCTTCTCTGTATCTTACAAAGAACCAGTAGAGTTTGTAGCTAACCATATTAAAAGCTTTCTCTGTGCAAAGAACAGTCCTAGCCCCTTACAACACCAAAGTGAACAGATTTTAGTAAATAAAGCTCAGAAGCTGAAATCCATCATCAGGGACCCCGGGCTCATTGTATGCCTCCGGAATGATGTCTCCCACTCGCCCTGACACAAACCTTTCCATCTTTTCTCAGCCTCTCCAGCTGCAGCTTGTACACTGAGCTCCTCTCTTCAAAGGTGAAGTCATCACTCTCATAAAAAAAGCTGCTCTCTGCCTGGGAGGACGCCATGGCTTGCTGTGCTCCTGTTGCAGTTGCTAGGCAATGGCTTAACAAAAAAGACCCCAAGGAGCTGGAGATTGCTTGCCCCATCCCCCACGCCAACAAAGCTCAGCCTGAAGCTGCCTGTTACGCAGGAATGGCCACGGCAGGGTTCACCAGCTTGCACAGGTAAGTTATTGAGTTCAAATTCATTCCTTCTCCTCCCAGGTGCCTGGGAAACAGGAGATGATACTCTTCTTTTCACAAAGTCTAGATTAATAGCAGCCCTCCAAGAAGAGACAAGACAAGCCTGGGAAGGAATGCAAATCACATCTGAATCACTCTTTTGCAGCCTGGTGCATTTCAGAAGTATTGGGTTTCAACTTTCCAAATTTTAAGCTAGCATTATCATTGGCTGTGCTGGATGGGATGGAGTTGTAGCCCAACACCTGTAAGGGCACCAGATTGAGTCAAGGTGCTCTAAATCAATTGCCCAAATTCTCCAGCCAGTATGACCACTGTGTAGAATTGTGGGAGCTAAAGTCCTCCCATCTAGAAACTCTGCTCTAAATGAACATTTGGATTGTAACTTCTTATAAAGCTGAGTTTGCAGTAAATGTACTTTTGAGGAATGACTCCACCATAGGCATTGGCTTCTCTAGGCTGCATTGCTACCACGGGTACAATGCCTCTGGTGTTTCAACATTCTCTCTTCTTACCAGTCTTTTGAATTCCTATACTCTATCTCCCACCAAGAAATAACTCCAAAAGAGCTGTTGGTTTGTGAAGCTGTATTTATTCCCCTATGTGTTTTAATGGATTCCTTTATAAAGAACTCTGTAATATAAAATGCCAATCAAGAACTTCTTTCCTTGAATGAATGGCACACCTTCATAAATCACATAATGAAATGGCACAAATTAACCAAAATGCTTACGGGAATAATCAGAGTCCTAATACAATGGCTGTTTTGTGTTTTTCTTGTGCTTGTATAGCTACTTAGGTTCCCTCCTTTTCTTCTTTTAATCCATTTCCCACCCTTTACACACCACTGTAATTGCACTCCTCTAAATCACTGATGATCTCCAAATGCCAGATCCAAAAATCTTTATCCTCATTCTCCTTAACAATACTGTAGACTTTGCTAGGTCCCCTTACATAGATTTCTTCTATGCCCTGAACTTCAGTGCTAGTCATCTGGTTCTTTTTTTTAGCTATTCAGACTTTTTCTTCCCTCGCTTTCTGCCCTTCCCACGTTCCTGTTCTCTGCTATCATCTTTCTAAGTACGTGCCCAGAAGATCCCATTAAAGCACAGCTTGCTTCGTCACTCTTACACTGATTATTCCCAAATTTACCTCTTCCCATTTTCCATCCCACATCTTCAGGTATGTCCCTGGAATTTCCAGCTGGCCATTTGTTCTTGATGTTCATTATCTTTCATACTTATCTGGTGTCAACAACAGTACACACTCTATAAATGACACATGAAGCCATGGCTTTTTCTTGGACCCTCCATCTCCTTTGCTCTTCATATTTAATCTGTTAACAAGTACTAACCCTGTACAACAATGGGGAAACAGCATTTTTTCTGTTTCTTGTGAAGAGAATTCTAGTTATCTGTATTGGTCACAGAAGGTGGTAGGACCTAGCCAACCTTGGCTCTCATCAGAAAGTTAAGCTGGGTCAGACTTGGTTGGTATTTGGATGGATGACTACCAGAAAATCTGAGGTAGATAAGCTAGACTGCAAAGAAGTTAGCTTTGATTACCACTGAAGGTAGAAGAAAATGAACAGTGTTATCCAACATTTTTTTCTATGTATATTTTTAAACACTGGAGGAATCCAGGATGCTGCTACAATATTCATTTCCAGCCAACACAAACACAAGAACAAATTTATCCCACATACCTTGGCTGAATTTCCCAGAGAATAGACAATTCCTGAATTAGCCTACCCATTTGCTCCATTGATTCCCAAAGCTATTAATGCTCACCATTCATTTTAGGTATTTTTTAAAATAACAAATAGATCTCTAAAACCCAAAGGTTTGCAGAAAATAAAAAACATTGGGCTTATTGCATAGAGCAATGTTTAGATTCTCCCCTATCCTCCCTACAACTTGGTACCAAAATAAATGCTGTTACAAAGCAGCATATCCTCTCAACAGTTACCAGTTAAACTACAGAATAAATAATTTAACACCTTCCCCAACGTTTTCTCTTTCCCCCATTTCTAACATCTTGGTCTACAAGATCCCTGTTGCATCTTTACTTCCAGGCTACATGTGTTCCTCAGCACCACTTGGATTTAATAACTCTTGTCTGAAGAAGCACCATCCAAGCTTTCTAGTGATTGGCAGATCTTATTCAAAGGCCTGAGACCTTATAAGCACCAAAGGTTGGCATGATTCTGCTGTTTCAGGTAGAGTTGCAGGGTAGTTCAGAAACTGGATTCTGGTACAATTATTCTCCTGCCAAGGGATGCTGTATGATATCTTGCTCGTTGGAAGTTACCACAGGAAATGCCTTCTAAAGTGAGTGGTGGCATGGAGGCCTGCAAGGACCCGTTGTTTGCCTTGCAGAGAGAAGTTGACCTGCTCAGTAACCAGTCATTCCTTCCCTTGCTGTTGCAGGAGCTCTGAGCACGCTTAATGTCCACCTCAGAACGGGAGATCCGCCCATTGGACAGCCCCTCTGTGGAGCTGGGATTCAGGCCATTGTTTGTCCTGCTGCCAGGGATAAAATTTAGCATTCCATTGGAGAAGGATGCCTGGGTAGAGGCTACAGATGATGTCATGACAGCATGCCTGTCAGATTCACTGTGTCGCTTGGGGTCCTTACGCAAAAACCCAACTCTGAAGACTGCCAACTTTCCCTCTGATTGTTTCTCAATCTCTGGCTCCCTCTCCCCAAGCCAGGGTGTGGTCTTTTGTTCTGCATCCCCCCGAGCCTTGGTAATAATGCTGGAAGAGGCCAGGTTTGAACCCATGCGCAAGGTCCCATTGATGTTAGCTTTGGTCTTGGGTTCCTCATCTTTTACTGGAGGTACTGTGCTGAGAGAAAGCACCAGTTTTTTGGGTGTCCGTGGCTGCTCACCTGTTTCCTCCTTTGGCTTCCCTGCCCGTTTCAGAGTGTTTGAATTTTCCATGGCAGTGGCTGCCTTGCCAGTGGTCTCAGTTGTGCCCATGCTTGTCAGAGCAGGATTGGGCTTAGCTTTGGTGACCATAAGCTCATTGTCTTCCCCTTCCTTAGTTATGAGAGGGACAATGGACTCCTTTGTGAACCAAGGTCTACGGCCAGACTCCAGATAGTCTACAAGCTCCCTGGAGGGCTCTGCTGACCATTCTTTGGAAGTGAAAGACCAGCGCAAGGGTAGGGGCTTGGGGATGCCCAGCTTGGTCTTGTTAGAAGAAGCTTTCAGGCTGACACTTCTGCCCTGCACACCCCGAACCAAGGGACGAGACTCAAACCCTCCTAGAAAAGAACATAGACAGTAAATGGCAATGATTCTCAGGAGTTCTGTGGAAATCAAATATGCTGTTTTGAAAGCTGAAACTGATTTTAACAAAGCATTCACAACAACCTTGCCAAGACATCTATTTCTGGGCTTAAGGGAAAAAAACAACCAGAAAAAAGATGAGAAGGACTGATGGAAAGAAGTGCAAATTTACTAATTTGGGGATCAATTATTTGATTTATTTTCATCCACAATGATTCAAGGCAATGGGGAGAGAGCTTCCCCATCACCCAAAATCATCTTCAAGTGGACTAATGGGTGGTCCTGAAAATTAATTTGCTTTTTTATTTTAAATTTATTATAGCTGTCTCCAAATGCCTAGTTGGGTGTCTAGAGATAGAACTGGGGCAGGATGATGCGTCCGCACTCTGGACGTTAGGAAGGGAAGCAGCCCAAAGATTTGGGACCTTGAAGCACAAACAGAAGAAAGTTGCCCAATGAGATGAGCTTGATTCATGAATGGATTTCTGGAAAGCAAGGATAATAAGGGAGATAGGATACCTTTCTCCTGGCTGGTGCTGGTACTGATGAGGGTAGGTGAGAGAGACATTTTTGGCAGAGATGGACAGGTTGCTGAGCTCCAGGATGTTAGACTCTCTCGTTTGTTGCTTCGACTGAGCCGTGCCAGCCAATGTTCTGAAATGGAAGAGCTGGTGGATCCTACAAGGAAAATACATGAAATAAAAGTGTTGTGGAGACAGTCTTTTCCTCTGCATTGTGCAGCTATATTGAAAGGGATGGGGAGGAAGTAATTCTGTTTGGCTGTATGTGTATATAACTTGTGATTTCTGAAAGAGAATCATCTAATATCCTTCTACCCTCCATTCCATGTACAAAAATGTTATTATGGGGAGTGAGAACCTTTTTGGTTCAAGTATAAGACACCCCGCTGATTGCCTTCAACAACTTTTATTGTAAGCCACCTAGAGTCACATATGTGAGATGGGCAGCTATATATATCAAATAAATTAATAAATAAAATAAAATAAAATAAAATAACTTCACATGCTAGAAATTGTGAAAGTTTCTCGTGGTCACCCAAATCAGAGCTTTCTTGAAGAAGAGTTGGGGGATGATGAGTGTATGCCATCTGTATTACTGCAATGTACTATTCTTTGATTGATTTTTGGATTGCTTTATTGTTGTAAAGTGCTGTGAATCCAGGAAAATTATGGGAGTATATATATGATAGACAAAAACAAAAATAAATTGCTTGCAAGCAATTCCTTTGGATTAAATATGGGCCAGATTTGTATCAGGATGGGCGTCAGGATCCATGCTTTAAAAGCCATGTCAGTAACTGCTTCGTATTCCTAGGTATGCCTCAATATCATCAATAAATGACATGGAGTTTAATCAATGCATAGGAAATAATAGGTGGGCTGTTCGGTAGGCTAAGTAACCCTTGCAAACCTCTAACAGAGCTTCCTTCAGACCAGCTTGGAACTACATTCCGTCTCTGATAGAAGAGGATGTAGGCACCACGTGTGCTGATGTCCTCTTCCAAGACTGGTTCGACGGTGCTGTCATCGTAGCTATACCAGCGACCATCCAAGGAGTTGCAACAATAGGCTGGGGACAGAGGGAGGATCATATTAACCGACACATTGGCAAGTGAACTGAACTTCCAGAATTCTCACTAACTTGGCAGCACTGGGAAATTCACAACAACCTCACCAGTGTATTGAATTCCTACTCCTATGCTTGTAGAGAGAGAAAAGTCACAGGGAAGCATTGCTGGAAAGTAGCAACATTGTTCTGTAAAAGTTAATGGGATTAAAACAAGATTTGGAGATTCTCACTCCTGTTGGTGGGTTACTTGTATCTACGGGTATGCCAAACATTTGGAATTTGAGCTGTTTCGAATTTGAAATACCCAATATCAAGTTCAAAACAGTTTTCTGACATTTGAAACAAACTGTTCTGCATTTGAGACAGGCTGTTTTGATAACTCTGGAAGTGTTTTGAGCTTGAAACAGCTGATTCAAGTTAAAAGCACTACCAAAATGATAGAAACAGCCTGTCTCAAATGCAGAACAGCTGTTTGAAACAATTGTTTTAAGTTCAAACTCAAAAAAGTTTGAATTCAGAATGTTTTGCATACCACTACTTGTATCCCATATGTTTTTAAGTGAACTCATACAAGCATATTTTTTGCTAGGTACGGTATTCAGCAACATTTCTTAAAGTAATGTTAAGTTAGACACCTCAGAAATGAAAAAAGGGCTCCTGAGAGCTTGAATGTCTCAATTAGTTCCCTGTTCCTGTCCATCCATTCACAGAAGCAGAATATAGCATGGGGGGAAAGCATCAACATGCAAACTGCTGCAATTTTACTTAATGATTGATCTTACAGAATTATTTGTTTCTTCATGCAGAATTCAGAAGTCCCTCCGCATTATGGCAGAGAATACACAGACCTGCTTGTCAATGCTTAGGTCAAGTGAAGGGGGACCACCTAAGGGCCTGTGGTGTTAACCCCAGACTTCAGCAGTTCATTACTTTCAGCAGGAGTTGCCAAAGATATTCTCAGTCCAGCACTGTCTACTTAATGAAAACTCACCTGTATAATGTCCACCGTGCAGGCTACCATGATGATTGCAGACGGCATACAGATCATAGAGGAAATTACACTGGCCATCTTCTGGCACGGACTGCTTCCAGGGGCCCCACTTGCTGCCACGGCTGCGCTTGGCCACGTGGGGAGCCATATCAAGCCCTTGCAGGGGAAAGTGCACAAGAGTGGAGAGCTTGTGGCGCTGCTCGCCCACCTGCCGGAAGCGTTTCAAGTGAATGATGAGGATATCAGGGAGTGTCCACAGGCTGAGTTTTACCATGCCCTGTTGAAGTACCTGGCAGTGGGGACAGCGCCAGGCATCATCTGGAGCCAGCTGCAAAGAAAGACACAATACAACTATACAGGAGCCTGGACCTGAATGCTGGGAGATGGATGGCACTGTTGATAGGAACAGTCTATTCCCGCCTCTTCCAGAACCTCATTAGGTACATTGGCCCTGAACAGAGATTGGGTCATGCAGATGAACATTCCCATTCCTGCTCACAAAGAAACACGCTGCTTTGTGACAGAGATGGTCCTGTTCTAGTAATCTCGATAATGACAAGTTGATCCTAGCATGCCTTTGCCCTCATCCATGGATACCTGCTCCTCCTTGGTGTAGAGCTGGAAGCATTCATTCAGGGTACAGCTATGCTGCTGTTGATGAAGCTGCTGCTTCAGTCTCACACTTTCTGCATCTTCAACAACTTCTTCCTGGATGTTGCCAAACAAGCTGCAAAAATGCAGAGGGACAGGTCAGAATTACTCCAGTCTTGGTGGTGATTGCATTATGTGCAGGCATTCAGTTTCATTTAAGGTAGACACATATCAAAGCAAGTCCTGTGTTGATTCCCCAAAATTCCAATTAATTAATGTTCCACTGGCTCTTAATATTCAGGAGGTTGAAAAAGCATTATGTGAATGTCATGGAACCCTAATCCCAAACACTCAAGCAGGAATCTGTAGTTTCTTAGCACGGATGACTGCTCTATGAAGGAGAATTTCAATTCATGTCAAAGGCTCTTCTGAGATGTTAGAAGGTTCTGAAAATGTCAAAGAATATGATGGGACCCCAATACAGTAGGTGAACTTTCATCTCCTGTCCTCTGGAAGTCAGATCAATTTTTTGTTGTTTCTCAAGTATGCCATTTCAAGTATCCAACTTACTCTCATTGCATGACTATCATTTAGGGGTTGTAAGCTAAGCAGTTTGAAGAGCTCCTTAAGAGTCACTAAGGATAATCTGTGTGCATTTAGTGGGCTCTCTTAGAGGTCTTGCACAGCCTGCCCAAGACTCAGCCCCAAAGTTGCTGCAAATATCCAGCAGTAAGCCTAGCTCTGAAACTCAGCAGCATTTCTGAGCATGTCTTTTTTAAAGTGTACTGTTTTAGAAGTACTATATTTGAGTTACATTTCAAAGCAACGTTGGCCATATTGACCATTTCATTAAAATAAGATTTCAATCCTAATCCTGGCCCTTTTTCCCTTGGCTCCAATCATTTCTTGGAGTGAAGTCCTACAAGTCCACACAAACCAAATGTGTCCTTGGCTTAAAAATGCTGCCCACTCCTGCTTTAAACCAAGTAACCCAGAGGAGAGATAGTGTTATAACTCTTTCTGGATTGTACTATTATGGTGAATTCTGGTTCAGTAAATGTTCCGGTGCATAGGGAATGAGACATTAAGAGGGGGCATGACTGCTGCCTTTTTATTCATATTTACACATTTTATTTCTATTCTGTGTTTCAATTTAGAGGGATCCTGAGTTATCATGTCCTTTCTTCCCTCCAGGAAGTCCTTTTTTAGACCTCTCCAGGGATACCAAATACATCTTGGTGAACTGCTGAGCAACTGCAGTGGAATTGTCTGCAGTGGCATTTTTTTCGGTCACCTTGTGTCCTGTTTACACCCTTCTTCCGTAGTTGTACATGAAGCATGAAGGCTTCAGAATCAGGATTCTAATCTCCAGACTTAGAATCATTATTTGACCCTACTGGCCTGATGCCTCTGCTGTTGTCAGACAGCTACCAATCTCACTGGCACCGTACTCGTATAGAAGAACTTTGCAGCCTTGGCCTCTCTCCTGAATACTGAGGCCAATTAACCCCAGAAAAGGCCAAATCAATAGCAAAAGAAAGAATTAGGGACACTGATCGCCCAAACAATATCACCAGTGCTCTTGGATTCTATTGCCAAATGTTAGATAGCCGCAAGCCTTCTACTGAGGGGGTATTTATACAATCTAACCCTAAGCAAATATGGATGGGCTTTTTCCAGAGCCCGCTTTGATGGCCTCCCTTCAGCACTGCTGGCAGGTAGATTTCATGGGGCTCCTTATTTACAGAGACTTTGTCCTTGTGGATCTGGGGAGGTAGAAACCCTTGCTCATGTCCTTTTAGGATATCCTTTTTATGATGTCCCAAGACGTGCTCTGATCTCCCCATTTATCTCTAAATTTGAAGCCCATACTGATAAATTTTATGTTTATTACTTTTAAGGGATGCTGACTTGACACTCACATACCAGGCAGCCAAATATCTTCATCATGTTATACAATTGCGCAAAACTTTTAATTAATTACATTGTTTTATTGTCTTGTTGTTTTCTTCTTTCCCTGATAACAAATTGTTGTATAGTTTATTTTTACAAAGGCTGGTCAAAGATGGTAATAAAGATATTTAATTTGATTTGAGTTCTGTATGTGCAGGAGGAAATTATTTTCATGAACAAACAAGGAGAAAGGGGAAGCCCTAAATCCAATCTAAACTACACCACAGAAATGGGTTTTCCTCTGTATCTGCCATTTTGTGTGAGCAAAACTTAATTTATGGACATTTTTGATGGGGATTACTATGAAAAATAACCACTGGAAATAAGGGAACCACCAGGAGAAGACGAGAAGTTGAGGTCTTTAGCAAGTGCTGATGGACCATGTGCATTTGACCTACTAAGCTACTAATGTGAAATACACATTTCAATTATACTGTTGTTTTCCCTCATCCAGATTCATTTTCTCTTGAAATTAAATTAAAAATGGAGGCAACATAACCCCGCCCCCCAGCAAGATATTACACATAGATTAGCATATCACAGATAGCTTGGGGGACAACTGGAGTAAAATAGGCTCGGTTAAGTACTGGGTATACATATTATATAGCAACTCCGTCCAACCTGGCATCTTCCAGATAAATGGAATAAAAATTCCCATCATTCTCATTCTCTGTCTCTCTGCATACATCTAAAGTCAGAAAGAATCATGAGCATTTTTCTTCAGCTGCAATGAAAGTCCTTCTGGAAGCCACATCTCTCCCTTTTATGGATACTCAGTGAAACTCATCATCAACTCTCTTACCACTTACCAATGAATCTGCAACACAAACTCACCATTCTTTGGTGGTCAGATCCCATTCAACCACCAGCTTCACGTGAATGGGACCGCCAGGGCCCCCCAATTGCAGTGCTCTGTAGGAAAAGAAAGCTGTTAGATACATGTGTGTGGCATGGTGGTAGTGAAAACACAGGCTCTGGAACAGGAGCCTGGAATGGGGTGATTCAGGAAATGTTTAATTAAGCTTGCGGAATTTCATGGGCCATGGAAAAATAGTGGGTCAGGAAGTATAAACTCGATGGGATCTGGATGTGAAGCTAGGGATATGGGATCTGAAAGATACCCATAATGCACATATTCCTACTCCAGGCTTATGCATGACTTCTATGGCTTCCATTAGACATACAGGCCAGGAAACTGTACAGGGTTTTGTTTTTTTCTCACTTCATTGTTTAATTTTAGGGATTCTTCTTAGCATAAAAAGATATAATGACCCTAAACCAGAGTCTGCTATCCTTGCTCAGCTGAACTCTGTAAAGTCTCTTTGACTAATACTTCAAAGGCATTGGCTCCAATCTGAGGAAAACCCCAAAATTGTCTTAAGTAAGTAAAGCATTATTAATAAAACCAAATAAGGTATACAGATAAATATAATGATGAGTTTTTTCCCCACAGAGAAAGGAGAAGGTTTTATGTGGTCATCTTAAATCAAAGTACGGCACCCTTTTAAACCTTAATTATATACATTTGGAGCAAGGCACAATAAGCTTAGCAATGGGACTAAGAGGAAATAATCCACGGGACAGCCTGCAGCCTAGAGTGCAGCTTTCACCCCCTTTCCATTCCCTCTAACCAAGAGCAAGGTAAGAATTGCAAGCTGGAATAACATTTAGTAAACCATCCAAGAATGGCTCTCCTTAACTAGCACAAAGGAGCCAGAACACCACAGGTCAGAGCCAGTTTTGCCCAGTTGCCAGCAGGGGGCGGACTCCTCCCAGAGAAGAGCCAATTCATCTTTACATTTTTAATCATAATAAAAATCCTTCACAAGGAGTTGGGTTGCACACATACTAGAGAAATCAGGAAGCAGGGAGTCAAATGATGCCCCACATGCTGGTCTTTTTCTCAGGCCCTGAATGTAAAATGCAATGATCTTTAATGCTTTTTTCCCCACTAAAACAAAGTAACGAGAGCCAGTATGGCGTAGTGGTTAAGATACAAGGGTAGAAACCAGGAGACTGTGAGTTCTAGTCTTGCCTGAGGCATGAAGCCAGCTGGGGGACCTTGGGCCAGTCACTCTCTCTCAGCCCTAGGAAGGAGGCAATGGCAAGCCACTTCTGAAAAAACTTTGCCAAGAAAACTTAATAGACTTGTCCAGGCAGTCACCAGGAGTCAACAATGATTCCAAGGTGTGTGTGCATGCACACGCGTACACGTGCACACACGCACACACATGCACACACAGAGTACATCTAACTGAACTCCATGCATTCATTTTCCTGTTCCCTCCCTCCCAGTTTCTTCCACTGGAAACCTCCCTGCACCATTCCCACCTTTTTAAGGGAAAAGATGATGTTTTCATAAGCAAACAAATGATACCTGATAGTATGAACAACAACCACCAATACAGACAAAATCATGCCTGACATTGTGGTGTGGTGTGTGTGTGTGTTGGGATTACTGGCTGAAATGTAAATCCAACCAAAAGCGCAACTTCATTTGTCCCTTCTACTTTCTGATCCAACAGGCAAAAGGAACCATACCTATACCTTTTGCTTTTAAAACTGTATACTCCTCAGAGCCTGGTTGCTGTCTTACTATTGTAAAGTGATGGACACATGAAGACTATACAGATGCTATCTGGCTACTCCTATCATTAGGAAGAGTAAGGTGACTGTACTGGAAGCAGCAGCTGAATGAGACATTGGCAGTCAGTGCAATATAGGCAGACAGGTTTGCCTGTATCCATTAAGCCAGTCCACTGCCTTTGGGCGCAATGGACAATGCTCACCCATCACTAGTGTTGTAAATCAAACAGGCAGAACAGTCAAATAGTGGAAAGGAACCTCCTGTGGTTTGTCTTGGGCAGTAACATTTTTTGGGGCCAGACCTCAGTAACATGTGGCGATAAAAAGCTGCTTACTGAGGAACAACCTATCAGGGAGAGGAAGAGCAGCCTTACTACCAAAGACCCCAACATTTGGAGTAGCACTCAGAGTTTAGCAGACCCTTGCTTCTGTGTCTTTTTAATTCCCTGTGATACCAGGATTCACCAATTGGTCATCTACTGTAGCTCTCCCTAACCTGGGGTCCTCCAGTGTGTAGGATTATAACTCCCACCACCTCTGGAAAGTATCACACCAAGTTGGGGAATGCCAGCTGACTACTTCTTAAGTCCTCTGTCATTCTGCCTTGCTCACTGCAGTCCCAATACTGTAGGCAGGTACCTATAGGTTTTCACTGATGAGACAGTAAAAGGCTTGTAAGGACCAGTGCAAAAGAAAAATCTTACTTCTTATTCACAACCCAGACATACTGGACAACAAACAGCTTGTCTCCAACTTCACCTTTTTGTGGAAGCTTGTGGAGAAAGTGGTTGAGCTGCAGCTGTAGAAGATCTTGAAGGAAATCAATTATCTGGTCCCATTTCAGTCAGGTTTCAGGCCGGGTTCACCATGGAACACTTACTGATTTCTGACAGACCCAGGATGGGGATAGTGCGACCCAACTCATCCTGCTTGATCTCTTGGTGGCTTCTGATACCGTCAATCATGGCATCCTTCTGGGTTGTCTCTAAGGGTTAGTACTTTGGGGGGGGCACTCTTTTCCAGCGGTTCTCCTCTTTCCTGAAACAGCAGTTTCATATGATGTGGGGAAAGGGGGAATTTAACTCTAGGGCCTGCTTAACATGTACATGAAACCACTGGGTGAGATAATCTGTTGGCATGGGCCAGGTTTCATCAGTACACTGATACCCAATTTTTAATCTTGAACCCTGGCTGAATTAGTGATGCCTGGAGGCTGTTTGGGTCTGCATGGTGAGGAACAGGTTAAGACTCACTTCCAGCAAGACAGAAAGGCATTGGGTTCAAACTCTAGTGAGATTTCATGGGTAGCTCTGGATGGGGTTGCATTCTTCCAAACAGAGCTGGATCACAATTTGGCAGTCCTCTTGGACTCATAGCTCCTGTTTGAGAGGATGGCAGCTGTTGCCAAGAGGACTTTTGCACAGATCCCTCTTGCGTACCAACTGTGACCCTATCATGACCAGGAGGCATTACTCATTATCATTCATGCTTCAGTCACCTTTCTGTTGAATTATTGTAATGTGCAGTACATGGTGGATGCATTTGAAGAGCATTTGGAAATTACAGCTGGCCCAGAATGCAATAGCTTGAGTAATTATGAGTGTACCTCTGGCTCCCAAGTAACCCATCTATTCCAAGAGCTGCACTAGTTGGCAGTTGGGTACTGGGTGCAATTCAAGGTGCTGGTTTAACTTCAGGGCCACAGAAGCATGCCTTCTCAGTCATCATTCTCCTCCTATAGAACAGTATCCCCAGACTGGCTTCAGGAAATTAGTAAAAACCTGGCTGCTTCATCAAGCCACGGGGCCAGCTGGTTATAACTATCCCTCCTAAGGAGAAGAAATTCATTTTATTATTTTAAATATGTCTCGCAGTTTTATGTAATCCCTTATGTTACTATAACATGATTTCTTTTAAATTTTATTTGTATTTCCTAAAATCTCAGTTATGTATTGAGGAGTTGTACAATGCTCAGAGCCTGCTTATTGGAGTAGCCTATAACCCTTGCAAACAAACAAACCAATATATGGGAAGAAAAAGGTTGTAATAAGAACATGCAACCATTTGGGTTCAGAGTGTGCAGAAGCACTCCCACAGTATCTATCAGGAATTCCTTAAAGAAGGTGTGTCTCTCTTAGGGCAGCCACATAATCCCAACAAAATACACATCTGATTTAAAGAGGTGCCAAGAATTGCTACGTGTGCATCAATACACGCTTCAAATTACTTATTCCCCTTTCCCCACACAGCTCTAGTTTACAACATTCTAGCATATCTAGCAAATCAATCAATCAATCAGTCCGTCAGTCAGGCAGATCACCCAACTCTAAATGTTCCAGTTTAGCATGTACAAAAATTTAGATAGCATCACCTGGAAGGACCATATTTGTGTATGAGAAAGGAAGGGTATGGATTCCGGGAAAGGGATTAATACAGATGTATTTTACAAGACTTTATTACAGAGATTCACTAATGAAATTACTTTTGTAAACAGAGGAGACTTAGCACAGAGAAGTTGCCACTGTGGAAAAAAATGCAATCCTTTGCCAAAGTTTTGGGCCAACGATGATTGAGGAACCTGCAACTTGTGATACATTAAATGGAGATTGAATTATGTCCATAAAAAGCATGGAGACTGGAGTTCACACTTCGCAGGCAAGGGTGTCACTGAGCCACAAGAGCAAATCCTAGGAAAAAACTGGTATAGAAAGCCAAAGAGATGGCAAATAAATAAAGGGCAAATATTCCCAACAGAGGGGACAGCTCAGCAAAGGCTGGAAGTCATGTACTGAACCAGTCCAGACAGGATGAGAAGAGAAATGCCCCATCCTAACTGATGACATCCAAGAAGTTTTGAGAAAAAGAGATCTTGGGGCTGGCTCAGTCAGGCTGGGCTACTTCAGCATTTCAGCTTGGGGCACTGAGGCAGAACAACACAATTACCCAGCTCTTCTGCTGCTGGGACTACCTGGAAGCGAGGGATCGAGAGGGAGCAGAACTGCTTCTCACAGCCTGCTGGAGCCTCTGCGCTTCCTTCTCTTTCAGCCTCATTGCAGAAGTAAGAGCAGAGGTAGGCAACCTGCAGACTCCACTTATTTTGCATCCTCCAGAGCCCACTGTGATCATGCTGCCAAACTCAGCATAAAATTCCAATTCCCCCCCCCCCTTCAAAGAAGAAAAAAGGTGATCAAGCCTGATTCATTTATACACATAAATTGGGGAGAAAAAAGAGGAAAACACCCATTTCGGCCCATCGGAAACACCCCAGAAATAAAATGCCCTCACCAGCCTGTGTAATCATGATGTTATCACAGCACTCCCTTCTAACTCTTGCTGCCAATAACAATAACAGTACTACTGCAGGTTCCCTGTCTTTGAGCAGTCAAGAATTTGCACAATTATTCTCACACCAGAGCCTGTGCCTGTTTGGGGCCTGGAAGCAGGGTGGGCAAAGAAAATCCTACATTGAACAAGACATTATATTTCTTCATTTGGTATTGGATTCTATATACAGTAAACTAGAAAGAGGAAAAGAAGAAGCACCTGCCATCATCTCAGCAAGAATGTAGCTCGGCAGAGGGAGAGTAATTGAGTAGATCTGGAGGGTTAACTGCAATACATTAGGAAAGAGCACATCCTGGTAGAAAGGGAAATTTGGGTGCTTCCTTACAACTACAGAATCCTTTGCTCCCTTAATCTTGCCAAAACTCGGCTTGAATACCTTTTTGTATATACTACAGTCTATGTATTCTAGCTGAACTGGTGAAAGGTAGAATTGTAACATCTCACCTTGTGCATTATTTTTATGATTTATTTGGATGGAGTATTTAGGTTATACAAACTGTTATCTACTCGAGAAGACAACACAGTTTAAAAATGAACACAATGTAGTAATTATTTATAAACAAAATGTCTTCCCCGTAATGCAGAGGATTCTTTTTGATGCTTAGGCAGGAAGAGAAGGAACAGCAGTTGGATAAAGGTAGGAAAGGCACAGCTCAGTGAACAGAATGCTTTCTGTCAACAAGAGAATGTAGCTATGAATCTCATTCCTGCTCTTTGATTATAGGCTCCTTTCAGTCATTAATTTCTAGCACTTTTCCTTTCTTACCTGTCCACAGCTGGGTGATACAGTGGCCACCTGTCCTGAGGAGAGAGATAGCTGCACAGTGAAGAACCTCCAACGACTCGCGCCTGGAACAGGCTCCCAGTACCCTGGAAAGAAAAATTGAGCAGGAAAAGTAAATGAGACACAAAAATGCCATGTCCCTTTCTCCCTACAGAAGGCATTTCTCAAAGTAGGAACTTAGGTCACGGTCAAGAAGAAAGAGGGCTGTAGCATTTGAAGAAAGTTCTGGGGTTAACCTTGTGCTAAGCATCTTTTAATGGGCAAATCAAAATTTCTCCAAGAGATACTTAATGACTACTTTACTATGATGTAGTTAACACAGTCTGTTTCTCTATAAAAACATCTCTGACTAAATACAATGTTCATCTATTCCAAGCTAGAAATATCTAAGTTTATAGCTAATTCCCAACAATGTAGACAGCCACCAAACTTTCATTACAGATTACATTATGCCAAAATACATTGAAGAAAATTTTTGAAAAGTAGTGAACTGTGGTTTGAGCATATGAAGCTCTTACACTGATTTAAACCATGAGTTAAACTATTAATGCAATGAGCCAAAATCCAACTTTTCTGCTTGGCAGCAGCCCTCTTAGACTTTAAGCAAATTATCCAAGATTTTGTTTTCCTGGATAAGTCATGTTGTGAAAAATTGCTGAAGGGACACCCTTGAGTCATGCCTGTATCTAAAGACCTTTAAGAACCACACAATGTTTTTCTTACATAGAAGCAATTCCCACTTAGCACCCAAAGTGTACAGAGCATGCAACTGATCTAGAGTAAAGCAAAAACAAGACAGATACAGGCTTGGCCCTTAGTCCAATGATGTCTATCAACACTGTTTTAATTCCTCCTAGATCAATTCCTTTCGATGCAGGAGGATATTGTTGAGCAGCAGCCAAATATATTTCTGCATTGGGCTGACTCACTGACATTGAGGAGTTCTCTGCAAAAACGAGACCCTCCCTTAAAGCCCCTTTTTTGCCCCACATATAATAATTAGCTAGAAGATACTAAAGCTAAGAGCTGCAACATAAAAGCAAGATCGACACCAGATCTCTGTGGACAAGACCCTCCTGAACACAAAATGTAATCAGTGGTCCATGAACATTATTTTAAATCATTTGTCTGTTCATACAATTAAGATACATAGATTTATTTATTTATTTATTTATAGAACTTATATGGCCACCTAGCTCATATAATGATCCTAGGCGGCTCACAACAATCAACAAAAACAGAGATAAAAACAAAATCACCCTTAAAGATACTTTAAGAATAGTGAAAGACTGAAACCAGTGCCACATTTTAGTGCATGCTTATAAGAGGCGCACTAATTTTCTCTATTTCTATACAGATATAGAAGCTGATCATCATTGTCCATGGATTATTTTAAAACAAAGAGGGTGAGCCTGATAATAACATAAATTACATGTTCAAGTTGGCAGATGGATCCAGAGTAACACCACAATCCCACTTGGCTCTGGTTCCATCAGAAAAATTGTTTTACAATTCATCCCCTTTTCCCCAGTGCAGTTGCAATTTCCCCATTGTCATACAAATGGACTAATTTACTCAGCCTTCTCTTCCCATAATGCTGTTTTGTCATTAAAACCCACACCTGATTAGCCAATACATTCTGGATTTCATCATGCTTTGTGTCCAGCTCGCTCATATTCTTGACAGAACAGTAATGAAGTCTGATGGAAAGACAAATATGAATCCATTACCCTAACACCATTCAGATTATAATCCACTATTCCCAGACAGACTGCAGGAAGACTGCTAAATTCCAACACACACCCCCCACACACACACAATTTAGGATATGAGTAGAGGTTAACTAATAACCTGCATTTTCCAGCTCCTAGCCATCTCACAATCATTCTATCTGAGATAGCTGGTTGTCACTTCAGGGACTAATTAAATTCACACTCTAGTTGGGGCTAAAGATGAAATGGTACCACCCAGTTTAATATATTTTAATTAAGCACATTTCTATGCACAGGATGTTATCTTGAACAACAGAATGATATTGGAACGGATATCCTCTGCCCCTGGATGGAGGTAATTTCAGTGAGACAGGCAAAAAATGAAGGATACTACAGTTAATAGATGAATGTCTCATCCCTCACTCAGAAAAAATAGGTTGAATATGTGGAGATCACTTAAGTGAGCATCTAGCCTTCACCATTACATAGCTAAGTAGATCCTGAGGAAAACGCCTCTGATATGAACAACTGAAGTCTTGGCAGAAACCTCTGGAGCCCAAAAGCAACATAGCATGGCCCCTGTGGGCCTGGTAATGATCCTGCCTCATACTGTCCTGAAGCTTTATCACTAGGGAGCCTTCTGAGGGGAAAGAATCTGTTCAGGAGACTGGAAATGTCAAGGAAGATTCAATTGCAAACAATGCCACCAAAGACGAACAGGAAGATAGGAGTCTCTTCCAGACTCTTCTTGAATTAATGAACTGAAATCCTTAGCATCAGCATCATGGACTCTTACAAGCAGGAAACTACTATGAATTGCATACAGTTGCCAAAGGTCCTCTGATGAACAGCAAATTTTTAGTATCAGGGGACCCAAGTATGTGGGTATTTACTGAAAAAACAGATGTTCTATTTCCTCAGTGAGAACAGAGCAAGTCCACATTAAGAGCTACAAGTTTTCCAGTTCATTTCCTTTACATGACTTTGCAGGTAAGCACAGGAGGCTGAGCATTCCCCAACAAGAGCTAGAAATTCTCTGCTTGGGGATTAGTAAGAACCTCTTCTTGAAACTGTGTGTGGGGTATATGTGTGTTAATGCACATTCCTCAGACTAAAGGAATAATACTGAAGTACCTGTTCAGAATACAGATGGTGCAAAATAGCCTTCCTCAACTCCAGCTATTTTGGGTTGGGAATTCTAGGAATTGTAGTCCCAATAATGGGGAGTTCCAGACTAGGGAATGCTAATATAGACTTGCAACTGTCAGTCTTGGTTATAGTAAATCCAACTAAACACTTGTATTAAGTGTTTAACTTTTAAAAAACACAAATAATCAAAATTTCTTGCTAAGAAAAGATTAATTTCCAGAATCTCTTTATTTTATACAAATTGGAGTCTGAATAGTTAAGTTGCACATATTTTCTCTTTTTGATCCTGAGGAGAAGCAAGCTACCATGCAAGGCATGTAAATTCAGCCCCTGCTCACCAGAAATCCAGCTTGCCACCCCACATTTAATTCTGCTTAAGAAATTTAATAATACATTGTTGGCATATTACTCTCTCCACTATAAGGCTAAAAATCTCAGGCTGACATTTTCAGGAGGTTCTTTTCCCCTTATTTTTATTTCAGGATTACAGATTGTCCCTGCTTTTAGACATTCTTAAACAGCCCCCTCTTTTATTTTCTTTCCACATCCCAGTTGGAGTATCAGAGAAGTCTATCCAAGCTCACTTGCCACTTGCTTACTCTGGGCTTTTCTACCTTTATGCCAAGGCCTCAAAGTAGCCAGGCATACCCATTTGCCTCCAAATGACCAGCTGGTCCTGCTAGCTAGGCTTCGATAATTATCCCTGGATAGCAATGAAAGCAGCAGAGGGCCACAGAGTTAATTAAACACTCCCATGTTTTAATTAAACCCAATTTAATGAAATCCGTTCTTTAGAACCACACATCCAGAAAAATCTGTGCTAAGCTACAAGGGGGCTTGTTAAGCATCTTATGTAGATGGTCTCTTTTAGTGGGAATCTAAGAGTAAGGGATGAGGGAAAACACAGGGGATATCCAGTACTATTCCTACCAGAAGGAGGCTACCTAAGTGACTAAATCAGTTCTACTCTGTAGAATTCTAAGAACACACAGACTTAACAAATGCTGTGCAGGACCAGACTAGGGGTCTCTGTCCTCCAAGCTCCTGCTTGTAACACTGGCCAGAGAGATGCTTCTTGCAAGACCCAAAGCAGGACTTGACTGGAGTAGTCCACTTTCATTATCTTCTATAGCAACAAGATTTAATGGCATGCTGCTTCTAAAATGCTAAGTTTCCATAAAGTTATTACAACTAGTAGCCCCTGATATCTTCCAGTGATTTATCTAGATCCCTTTAAAGCCATCTATAGGAGTAACCATCACTATACGTTATAAAAGCACATTCAGCTAATTAGGTTTGTACTGTATGAAAAAATACTTCCTTTCTCTGTTCTCAATCTACTATCAGACATTTGCTGGTCAACTCAGCGAGAAGTTAACATAGGCCTTGTTGTAGTTACTACCTGATTAATATATGATGTGAACACAACTGTCAGCCTTTAATGTCAGACCACCAACTAACATAATCTGGCCTTAAAGGGAGCTTTTAAGATTCCAAAATGCTCTGGGAGAGGGTTTTTCTGTTTTTCCCCACAACAACCTTGTATGGTAGATTGGGCTGAGAGAGAAGGACTATTCCAAAGTTACCTAGTGAACTTCCATGGCTGGGGCTGAAGATGAACTTGAACCTGGTCCTTTCTAGTATCATAAGATCCTAGAGCTTAATCAACACACCTTGTTGACTTTGTCCCACTGAATCTCTCCATTCCTCACATTGCCTTAGACTTTCAGCTGGTGTGTTCTCTTTTAAAAGCAAGAAACCTGGCATTTGAGTTTCCCTATTTTTACTTTGAAATTACAGGCATAGCAAACTCCATGCATTTGCATTACCCAGCTTCAGAATTAACCCATTTTCTGGGGGTATATAATACACTGAGCCACAAACTAACAAAGAGAGGCTGGCTTTGCATAACATACTGAGTCCCCCCCCAACACACACACACACACAAAACAAAAACAACTAAGCAAGATTAAAACTAACCAAGTTTAGAATGTTGAGGTCATGTAGAGCCACTAGCTTGTTAACTGGCATTAAGCTAACAGAATATATGATCTATTTCTAAGGCATCAAAATGAACATATGAATGAGACCATCCACACTGGCGATGTAATGATAGATTGTTTGCATTTTACTAAAATAAGTAAAGGGGTAACTCAGTACCTCCTTATAAGCAACTAAAAAGCTGGGCTAGCTTAGAAGCAAAGGGAGAGAGAGAAAAAAGGGAAAGGAAATAGTAACTACAAAAGAAATATTGATCACCATTATGGCAATCATGGTATAATTAACCAGAGAGGAGGAATTTAGGGGATGCACCTGTTTAAAGAGAAACAAATTATACTCTATCCTACCTATTCATTCATTCCATGCTATTGTTAAAGTATGTATAATACATGTTATCCAGATTATAAAATATGTGAATGATATATGTATATGTATATGTAAATATATATGGATTACATACAGTGGGGCAAAAAAGTATTTAGTCAGCCACCAATTGTGCAAGTTCTCCCAC